TGAGCCTGATGACCCAGCTTTCTTCTACAGGCCAGGTCAATGCTACACATCTTATTTTTCAGATGAGTTTTTTTAAATGTAAGCTTTTTCTGAGTTAGAACGGTTCTATTGCACTTTAGGCACATGAACTTTGACCAAATTCTTATCAAGTTATTTACTATCTTAATACTTGCCAGAAATAAAGTTATTCTCTTCCTCCCCATATGCTTGTAGTAGTGTTTCTGCTTGAAGCCTAGCTTGTAGTTTATGAACTTCTGGATGGCTGTCACGTAATGGTACCAGGTAGCAAGCTGTTGGAGAAATATATTAATTAAATTCACAGAATAGAGCTAGAACATTTTTTCAAGATATATATACTGAGAATTCTTCTGCCAATAAAACTAGTCAGAACAGCAGCCTCTAGCTCCCCATAATACAGGGCCTGAAGTGGAGATTGCTGCACTGCCAGGGATAGAGTTCAGCACAGCTGTGAATGGGACAGAGGTATATAATCTTGAGCTTCCTTGCAGTACCTTCTTGCTGGCAGTCAGTAGTAGATGATAAAACTTGCCCATGGATGGCGTATTAGGGACTTTGATCATTCTGTGCTCAACCTCTGAGCAGGCCCTTCAGATTTTCCTCATTTTGGAAGTTCAAAGGCACTTGCAAAGCTAGTCTGGCTTTTCATGCTGCTCCTTGAGATTCTAGTCTTCTCTGAGTACTATGTGGTTTTCACTGATGCTTGCATAGCCTTTCTAGTATGAGGCATCTCCTCTGAATGTCCTTCTCTTAAGTCACTTACGTCTCCATATCCATTGTGATTGGAGCAAGATCAGATTCTTTTCTTTTTCTTTTACACATCAAATTCTTTATATCTCCCCTCAGTCTTCTCTGTAGACTGAACACCACCAATTTTTTGAGTCTTTTCTCAGAGGTCATTCATTCCAGCTCTTATTCTCTTCTGGACTGTCTTCAGTCCCTCCTGTTTTCCAGACCATTTCTCCAGTCTGTCAAGATGAGTTTGAATTATAATCCTTCTTTCCAGTGTGTTTACAGCCTTTCCCAGTTTAGTGTCAATGGCACATTTGATAAGCCTACTTTGTTCCATCAAGATCACTAATGAAAATAGTGACTAGTACTAAACTCCGCTTACCTCAGATGCATCTTTTCATTTTGAAAGTGAACACATGAAAAATTTGGGCTAGAGCACTCAGTTCTCCCAGTCTAAGGTACCTGGGTCATGTATTCCTAGTATGGCCCCATCACAGGAAGGGCAGCATTTGGTTTAAGATGATGTCAAGAACATCATTTAGTATGTAGTATAGTACTATAGTACTGATACTATACTGTAGTATAGTATCAGTTCATGCTTTAATAACTGAGAAAAGCCAAACTAAAATTGAAAGGCAGAAAAAGAGGTTTGTCTTTGCAATCTGAATACAGAGAACAGTAAACATGATGAGTGCTTGAAGTGTGAAGCATGAGGACTACTATATTATGGAGATACAACTAGCAAGAGTTCTCCAAGCTTGAATACCTCAGAAATTGAATATCTCTGCAAGCAACCCCTCCAAAGAATGAGGGAAGATTGAAAATTTGACAAAATAATCCCAGACTTTCGCAGGTTCCAAACCAGCCCAGAAAACAGAGGTGCCAAGAGAGGCTGTGAGACTACAATCAGGCTGGAAGGCAGGGAATGAAGAGCTTGCGAATAGGGGAGAAAAGCAGAAAATGGAAGGTAACCCCAACATCAGACTCCAATCTTACACGTCTGCAATCAGTGGGAGTTTGTGGGAAAAGGAGCATACCTGTGGCTAAAGATGTCCCTTCCTCCCCTATGAGCTGTGATGGGCACATCAAGCTGAGTACAAGTTTTAATAGCAGCTGGGCTCATAATTTCTTTGGAAGGGGGGCTTGGCTCCCACCCTGCATGCTGAAGGCTCTCCATTAAAAAAGGCAAATAAGATCATTTGGTTCAATGTAAAATGAATTAAAGTAAATTAAACTGCAGGAGCCATGTGGCCTGCAGAGGCCTCCATTGTTGTACACACATAAATGGCAGCTTTTCATTTTCACTGCTAAGGAATGACAGCTTGAGGGGGGTGGAATTAAAAATAAGGAAATAAATAATAAAAAGACACAGTTGCCAAAGATTTCGTTTAGGAAATCCCAGGTGCCTGCAAGTCTTCCATCCCCTCCTCATGCTGTTGTCAGCAATCTAAGCTGATATCCTGGAGAATGGAGTGAAGCTTGAGGGGGGAGGGGGGAGAAAGAAAACCAAACCAAAAGAACTGTAAGAAACTGGTATCCCAGGTTCTTTTTTATATATATCCTCCTATCTCTGTAGGGGAGAAAGATACCAAGGACACAGTTTTTTCCAATGGTCTTAATGGCTGGTATATAAGAAAGGCCCTAAGTAAGAATTCTCTTTGCATGCTCAATACAGATGTGCAGCCAAGTTACAAGGGGCTGCATTTCCAGAAGACTGAAAATTCAAAAGGAAAACACTAACATTTGTTTGTTGAAAACATAGTATGAAATTACTGTTGAATAAATACGTGTCAGTTTTGTTTGAAAGCTGGATCTAGACATTGCAAATGAGTTTTTTGTGGCAAGACTGGCATTACTCGTGAAGTTTTTTCTTTATGCTGTTCAAACGGTGTCAGGGGCAAGTGTACAAATACTAGTCCACACTAGCACTGTGGACTCCTCACTGTATCTTTGAAAATATTTGCATGTGGGGTTTTTTGGTTGGTTGGGTTTTTTTAGTGCCCCCCCCCCTTTTTTTTTTCTTTTTAAAGCACCATCTCATCAAATCTGGTTGGAGAAAACTTGGCCTGTATGTGGCAGCCATTCTTTACACAGTTTTGCACTTGGGCTTTGGACAAGATACCTTTTTCAGGTGCATACCGTGTTTCCTAGCATAGATGGTTACAGCTCTGCCATGTAAACTGGCACATGAAGCTTTCCATATTCCTTCTGAAGCTGCCCCTTGGACATGAGAGAAATATCAGAATGTCTTTTGCACGAAGGAGTAGGATTTGGATCATTCAGCTGAAGCAAACTATCTTAAGGCAATGTATTACAGTGTCAGCTGATCTGTGATAACTGTGTATTCTGTGAGTCTGAAGCTAGGAAGACTTGATTTTGAGTAGCCCCAGCGCTATTCTGTGTTCTAATGGAGCACAAGCATGTCCACAGTTGCTTTGGTTATCACCTCACCACCTGTTTGTGTCTCTGTGCACAGCCATGCATAATTAAACAGTTATTGTAAGGAAAATGAGCACTTACCTTATAATGATTAGAATTGTTCTGCAACCTGCCTCCCTCTTGTGTCAGAGCTCAGCTCCATGGGATGCCATGGTCCAAAATCCCGGTGCCCAGCCTTTCTCACTGGGCAGACTGACCCTTCCTCCATCACATGACTAGTTGCACAAATGACTTGCACGTGCAGAAGTTTTATGCTCCTTGAGCAGCAAGCTCTTCTTGCACAAGGCA